TTTTGCATAGCCAAATATTTTATAAAGTTTAGGAATAAAATAAAGGAATAGGGTAAAAATAAAGTTCTAATCTTAAAAAAAAAAAAAAAAAAAAAGCATTAATGTTTAGAAAACATCTAACAACTATACGTAGCTCAGATCTGAGGCTGCTATTCTGTTTGCCTGAACATGAACATTAAGTGCTAAGTGCAGCTATTAATGCACACACAGAGAATATTCAGATCCTCCCATCCCAAAACAAGAACTTGAACATTGGCATCCCTTGAAACCTGCGTCCTGCTTACCCTATGGAACGGTCTAACTTGCATCACCAGTCAGCAGTCTTTCCAGTTGATTTGGTCTCTCAAAGAAGAGTGAAGCTATATAAAGAATAATGAGAGAGTTGCCAGTCTTGTTCCATTTTCAGACTCTATTGACAAAGAGAACAAGCTAGAGTTTTGTCACTTAAATGACCAGAAAAGTGCAGTATCACTTACTTTGATTTAAACAGTAAAAGGCACTCAAGGCTAATGAAGACAAGCTGATATGTTAGTAGGTTTTCAGCAAGTGTATGGCAGAGTAGAAATCAAATGATGACAGCCTTGACTATGAGGAAAGAGAATTGTAGGCAAACCAATGTAAGAAATAGAATATATGCAGATATTTGTGTTTCCTTTCTCATGGCATCCATATCTGGAACTCTTTTCCTTATGTTTTAAGACACTTTTTGAAAGATTCAGGACCTTAGAGGCCTTGAAAATACCATCTCTGCCACTCCTCTTCTCTACAAAGTTACAGTTGGACCAGCGAGCTGGAGTTAGAAGGTTAAGGAACATCTACATGGAGATTAAACTGCAAACCTATGCACAAAACCAAATATTATGCTTGAAACTAGAGCAACAGGCTAGCATATTTTACATTGTGATTTTTATTTAATAAGTTCACAACACCTGAAGGTGTGATGACCACCTTTCAGTGCTATTGACATGACAACTTCTTTGTCCCAGACAGCTTTCAGTGCAGTCACAAAGCAAGAGACAACCACATAATGTAGTATGGGGAATAAAACAGGACAAGGTGTACAGCGAGAAGGATACATGCATGTTCTGATGGCCCTATTAAATACATATGAAACAACAGTTTGGATTTAACAGGGACCTTTGGATTTTGAGGAGAAAAAATGCACTTCTTGTAGGAGGCATAGCGGCATTTTTAAGTATGATGCAAAGAGAAAGTCTGTTTGTACTAACGCTTTCCATTTTTCATGTTAAAAATGTCAGGCTTTCAAAGGACAGAGAAAATACTGTATGTGTAGATGAAGGGGACAAGAGGCAAAAGAGTGCCAGAGCCATCAAAGACATAGGACCATAAGTCTGGAAGAGATTTCCCAGCTCAGCAGCATGACCACAGCAACATACAACACTTTCAGACATTTTTCATGTCCACAAGTGTTTGCTACTCACGAGTGCATTGCTGCAAGATTTCTTTATGGCACAGGAGAGTGATCTGCATATCCAGTGGTCAGCACAAAGGGTAACTAGGACAGTGGCTTGAGCAAAAAGCCAAGACAGACGCAGAGGAACACCACAGGGCAAGGAGCGAAAGCTAGACAGGACTGGGCTTGTAGACTATGTAGGAGACCGTAATGTCCAAGTAATTATATAGCTCCTTGCTGGCAATAGGCAAATGTTTTGCAGTACCATTTCTTTCCCTTCAAAAAGGAGCCTTTAATCCTCCCTTTGGAGCACTCTCTGCAATGTACTGGGCTGCAGAAGCAAGGCCACTGGCCTACTTAATGGTGCCCTGTCCTTGGGCAATGGGGAAACCCAGAACTTCAAGACTTTCCGAAAGTGTTCATTTCTAAGGGATAAAAAGAGAGTGGCTCTCTGGAGCACAGAAGGGTTGGCTTTATGAATTTGGGAAGAGGCTTATTTCTACACATAAGAACAACTGCACCAAAGTTGTGCAGATCACACCAGATCGCACCAAAGATCTTTCTGAGGCCAGTATCTCATCCTTGGCACTGATCAATAAGAAATGTGCAGGGAAAGGTATAAAACCAGGTCAATTACAATGTCTTCCTACAACACTGTTAACTTGCAACAAGTTGTGGTTCAGGGACCTTGGTGTTTTTATATTTAACAGTTTGCAATAGAACTTTTAGGCATGAGTCTGAACAGCTGCTTTTTAAACTCTTGTAAATTTTAACATCAGCAACATCCTGCAATGAGGACTTTCACAACTGAAACACACAGTAGGTCAAGAGTGTCATCCTCCTATTTGCTCTGATCCTGCCTCCAGCTGGTTTTGTTCATTGCACCTCACTTCTTGTTTGGGAAGGGACAGCAAACAGTCATTCTGTGGTCACTCATGGGTTTATAAAGTTCTATCATCTCCTTCTTCAGTCGTCTCTTGTCTAGACTGAAGAGTCCTAGTCTGTACATTACTTTGGATTATTCTAGCTGCTTTTGTCAGGAGTTTATCTGGTTCTGCTGTATTCTTTTGCTCTATAAAAATGGTCTTGACTCTTGTTGCCGTGTCATATTAAACTTGAGTCTACATATTCAAATCCTTCAAAAGTTTCTGTTCACTTGCTCAGAACAGACATTCTGGTTGCTGGGTGCAATTCTCAGACTTCCCTGCCTGTCCTTTTTCAGAACTGGTGGCATATTAGCTGTTTTCTGCTCTCCCGCTATTTTGGTGCTTTTGAACAAGAGGTAATACAGAACAGTCCTTCAACTAAAGGAATATAGGTTAGGTGGGCTTTAAATGAGCATACAGCAATTTCCACTAGGAAATTCCTGGTTCTAATGGATCTTCTGCAGACTCAGAGGAATCTTTAATTTTTCAGATTCTGAGGAAGAGAATGAGAAAGTTATTCCCCTTTCCTGATCTATCTCCCTCCTGGCTGCTTTCTCTTGGGGCAACAGCTATTATTTCCTGTGTTTCAGTACACCAGTCCTGGTGATGTGAATCAGAAGGTAGAAGTGTAGCAAAATGACTGAAGGAAAATATTTCCACATGGTCAGATTTTCTTTTGTTCAAGCCGCTGTCTGTGCAGACACCAACGGAAAAATTCATCAAGATCTGCAGGTGTTTCCAGTTGTGCCAGAACATCTTCTTACTCAACATCTGGCAAAACCAGCAGCTGACCATGGCTGGGTTTCTGTCCACATCTATAACAAGCTGGTGAGATTACAGCATCCTGGTGGACAGTCCACCAATTAACTCAGCTTTGGGAGCAGAGTTTTCACCACCTGAACTGTTCTGGGACTTCCTCCAAGTTCAGCAATGGGAATGTTGGCTTCCCAGGTAAAAAGAGGCCCTTCCCTACAATGTCTCCCCTGGACAGGGAATGAGATACCAGTGTTGCTCAGCACCATGTTCACTCACTCCATGGTAAAATGGAGTGCAACTCATTGCTCCTGCAGTGCTGCCAGTTGGATCTAAAGTGACTGCTGACTTGAGGAGTATCAGCCCCGCTGCCCACACTTGCAGCGACTACGTAGAGTCATCAGGACGGGGGGCCAGGGATTCACCGAGAAATCCCTGGGCCTAGAGAGAGGGCAGTGCCAGACTGGAAGGGGGAATGGAGGTTGCACTGGAGAGGAGCATCAAGGGAGGTCCAGAGCAAAGCAGAGGAACAAAGCCAAGCTAGAACAAGATGGGGACGACCCAAGTGCAGCAAAAGCCAAGAAGCTCTGAGAAGCCATTTTGCTACAGCCCTCCAAAGCAGGCTTTGCTCCAAGAAGTCCAGAAAATGCTCTGCCATGTAAGTAAGGACTGCTGCCCCTTCCCACTCTATGGGAGTGGAGCTACAGGTGAGGCTTGCAGTTATGCTTATTTTGCCAAACAGCCAGATACGAGCAGTGCCAGTGTTCCCACGCTGAGTGAACAGGCTTAGTGAAAAACACACAGCACAGGTGCTCCTTGAGGGAATTTGGAAAAATAACATCAGAATCCCCTCTCCAGTTCACACTGAGCTTCTGTGCTGGCCTATGTCCTGGTCCCACGCTGAAAAGCATGCTGCACTTCTCGGTGTGCAGGATTTGGTTTTCCAAGCCCTGGGCAGGTTTGGGAAGCCACTGAGGCTGCCTGTCATGTTCCCCTGCTCCCCCAGCTGTTTTTAACCATACCTACAGCTGCACTGGCAGAGCAGTAGTTGTGTTTCCTCTCTCATCCACTTCCAGCAAAGTCCTACCAGTTTAGTTAGAGAAGTAAGGCCGCAGGCAGGCACTTTCTTCCAAATTCAGATGAAGAGATTTTGCCCTTCAGATGCCCACCTCCCATCCACTCCCCAAGCCAGGTTAGCACCCCACAGTCCCACTATTGGAGTGGTTTGAGATAGCTCTAAATCATGTCAAACAAACTCAGAGCATCTACTCAAACTGCTCAGCCTAATTCAGAGTTGTGAGTGGACACAGTGCCTTAGAATAAAGTGTTAGAGTTGAGTATAAAAATCATCTCATATGTCAGGTACACAGCCTGTCTTCATGCCTGAAACAAAAAGAGCAGCTTTCAAAGGCAACTACAAGGAAAGACCAAAACATTCAGATTTCAGTCCACCACAACATGGACCAAATATGCATGACCTAACCACTGTGTTTCACCTGAAGTAAAATAAGTAGCACTGTCATGAAGAAACTTCTTGGCACTGCACAGAACTTTCTTTCAATGGGATGTTGAACAGCTGCTGGTGGTAGCATTTGGTACAGCAGGAACTGGCAAGGCTTCCTAGTCATACCCTTATTCTCCTTTTTCTACTCAATTTGACCTGCTAAGACAAAGCTATTTAGAGATACAGTGGGTTAAGAATGGAGTGTCCGGGGAAGGAGGGGAAGAAACTAAAGGTTTTAATTAAAGAAGACAATGTTGTTATGCAGGATACCAGAAAGTTCAGCACTAAGATATAAACTGTTTTGGTCCAAGTACAGCACACGTATAACTCATGACACATACCTCATTACAGCTGACAGAACTACAACATGCCTGAATGGGGTCACAGTGCAGACAACAAACAAAAAGGACTTCCATCATCTTTAATACACAAGCAAAGCCTACAGAGACCACAATGCCCTGTCTCAATATAACTGGGTAAGTTGCCACAGAGATATGTTCATATTAGAGATAAAAAACAGCTGCAAGTGTCTCTAGAGCACTGCTGGCCATATTTATCCTGTGGGTTACACTTGGCCAACTCTGATTTAAAAATCAAAGCAGGTAAATTTTTCCCCCACTCTAATACCACGTGGCAGATTTACTGAATCCGAGCCCTTACTGGGGACCCAGCAGATGTGAAAAGAGGGTACTCTTTTAAAAATAAACAGAACAGACAAATACATGACACAGCTCCCCAGTTTCCTCAGTAGATTGGGGCATACATGCTTGCAACATGAACTCCATAAAGCTGTATTTTATACAGCTGCATTTTAAAAAACGCTGAACAGATGATACTCCTTAGCTGGCCTCCAGGATTCAGTTCAGCAGATTTGCAGTTACACAGTCGCACAGATTTCTCTTTTCCACCTGAAGAAGCAGAGTTTCTGTCTATAAGAGGGGGGAACAAAAGCAACATCAAAAAACAAGTGTCAGCACTGTAAAACTAAATAGCTCCCAAAGAAAAATCCGTTTTGCTTTTGTTCTAAGATTTGGAATTGGTTGTATGAGATAAGGCTTGAGGTAAAAATCAGAGTTATTGCTTACTGCTCTGCAAAATAATTTAGCTTTTGCATGATTAACTGGTATACCAACATGGCAATACTTCCTGTGACATGGAGAAATTCAGTCTGGTACACATTTATATTTTTCACACTAGTATATTCAGTATGTGTCTGGGTGTTGTTATTTTTGTTTACAGTTATTTGTCTTTCTTACAATCTTACTTCAACTGAATAAACTAGAGCATAAGCTCTGAAGTTGAGAGGCTTAAAAAAAGCCCCAAAACCTGTCAGAAATTTTCTTTTTACTTAAAAACAGACTCGAAAAATTAAATTTAGAGTGTTACAGCCTGGACTTCCTGTTGAAAGTTACACAGAGAAGGTAACACATGATTTAATCATAGAATCATAGGATACCTCAAGTTGGAAGGGACCCATAAGGATCATCAAGTCCAACTCCCTGCTCCTCACAGGACTACCTGAAACTAACTATATGACTAAGAGCATTGTTCAGATGCTCCTTGAACTCTGACAGGCTTGGTGCCATGAGCACTTGTCTGAGAATCCTGTTCAAGTGACCGACCACCCTCTCGGTGAAGAAATTTACTTCTGTTTTAAATTCTCCTGTGTCACTGTTGTTATTGTTAATATGCTGTTGAAGCCTAAAATAGACGATAGGTGCTGAGCTGGCACACAGCCATCACAGTTCAAACATGTGATGAGATTGCTGGCTTCTTTCACCCAAACTGGTGAAAGCAGAAGTCCCCCAGTTGAACTGGGGTTCATCAATATCAGGACATCATTGCTGCCCACAGGGATTTTGTGAGCAATGAGGTGGGATTGGGAGCTTCTCAGAGCTGGCGTTGGGTATGATCAGAAAGGCCCACACCCTCTCAGCCTACCTGTGGGAGAAGGGGCTGAGGACCAGGGAAGGGACAGCAGGGCTGCAAAAGGGAAATTTGAGAATCCTTCCTCCCTAGCACACACACACTTTGGTTTTCCTGGCTGCTTGGAGCACTTGTGGCTTCAGTAGATGCATGATGGAGCACAGGCCTGTTTGACATCAACATCACATCTTCTCAGTTTGTCTATCATGAGCTGAAGCTGTATCTGAGAATCAGTCTGATCCAAGAGATGACTTCCTCCTTATTGTCATGGGACACACTAGCTGTGGGAAGTCCGCTCACCAAATTAATCCCCACTGGTGTAACCAGCTACACAAAAAAAGGGCATTACGAAGACTACCAGCTCTAAATGCTGGTGAAATCCATTCTTAATCTGCCTGTCTTGTGATTTTCGTACGAGATGGAATCTCTCATGTGATTAAAGGCTGTGTTTTAAAAGCTGTGTTATCCATTGACCCACATCAGCTAAAGGCACCTAGAGCAGAGCTGAGCTGAAGCATCCTGCTTACTACCAGCCTTCTTAGTACAGGAACAGCTATCTATTGGTCAGGTTTTTCTCCCAGATAATACATCATCAGACACAGCCCTGTGGTTCTATATTAAATCAGGTATCACTTTTGATTGTTTCAGCTACCCTGCAAAACTGGAAAGATCTGATCAGACTTTGCTAATCACCTGAAAGACACTCAGTCACCACCTTCTAACCATCTCCTTGACATCATTTGCAATGGTTTGAATAAGGGAGGTTGGCAGCATGCCAGCAGCTTTGCAGCTAAGCCCCAAGACTGCTTACCATCTTATATATCTTCAGTAACATTTTCAAGCCTTTGTTTTTACATTCACGGGCACATCTAACTTAATGTGCTTTGAACATTCCAAATAACCATTGCCAGTTTAGAAAGGAATAAAGAACAAAATGAATGGCACTAAATACAGCTTTGCTGACCATTTTGTGATCATGATCACAAAACCATTTGCACAGAGAATTGTTACTATCCCCTGGTGGGTTAAAGCACATTTTGAAATAATAAAAAAAAAAGAAACAAACAGGGTAGGGTCCGTATTCTAAACCTACAAAAAAGCTGGTAAGTTCCAGCTAAAAATGCAGTTCCTGAGCTCTTTAAAGTTGTAATGCAACGTCCACTGGTTAACTCTGAAAAATGGTTTGGAATTTTGAAAGTACGTGTCTATAGTGCAGACCTACAGTGAACTGTGTAGCCCGTGGACTAAATTTGTTTTACTGGATTTGTTTTACTGGATTTTTTTTATGGCCTGCTCCCTGCTGGCCTCTGTCTTGAGCAGCTTTTAGATGCAGTAGGGAGCTGGCTGTGAACTGGCTGAATGGTTCTGATGGTAGCAGCTCCTCCCCAGCAGTACAAGAACCCTCTCCCTAGTTCGTGGTCAAAGCTGCACCGGCCACACACTGCACTTTGACTGAGTGGTGAATCACAAGATATCCCCAGAAAAGATTGCCCAGAGTTAGTTACTGCTGTTAAAACAACTAATCCAGCCTGCAGCCTGCTCCAAGGGGCCAGCAGTAACGAAAGGGTGGAAAACAGTATGCAGGGGGACAAACAGATCTGGTACACACATGGGTAGTAGCCAGCCTCTCAGAGGTGATCTGTGACCCTTCTCTTACTGCATCAGTAAATGCAGCCAGCCTGTCCATCAGTAAGTGATCATCACATCAGTGTAGGTTACAAACGTGCCTAGTCTTGTAAAAGAAAGGAGATACAACCTATGTTCCCTATAAAATGTTATGTGACCTATGCTACAGACAGTTTGCTTTGTAAGACAACATGCAGATCAACACAGGGCCAAATTAAGTGTGAAAAGGCTTGAGCTGTGCAATAAAACTATATGGTTTCCCCTGCACAGAACTGCAGGATGAGATTTGCAGGAGGAATTAAATGAGAATTTCCTCTCTAAGTTTCTGGGAATCCCTCCCCCTCCAACACAGTTAGGAGCTGCTTAGTCATCATCTAAAAATCTTGCCTGCAAACAAAAGAGTTTTTCAAGGAAATGAGTGTCTCCAGTGGGAATATTAACAAAGGGAATTGTACTTTGGGGGACAGAAACATTTGCCCCACTAAGCAGCAAAACAGACTAAAATAGTCAAATGTGAAATATATATGTGGCTGAAAGCAATTGTCTCAAAACTCACAGTTTGCATCAAATTGGGCCACAGCTGAATAATAAAACTAAGAACTGAAACACTGTAGAAGGCAGTTCCAAGAAGTCCTCAACTACCAAATATTTCCATTTCTTTTGAAGACGTAGGCAGAATTCCTAGCTTAATGACTGCAGTAGGCCTGTCCTAGTCCCTATCCTAGTCCAGAGGCACTGAACCATCTCAATATGGATTCAATTATTTAGATTTTAGAGTGATAAGGAAGTGAGAGGTTTGTTTTGGTGAGAATATATCAAGGAGCCACATTTTCAGGCTTGCTGTCAAATCTACAACTGTGTAAGTCAATAATAGGACATTCCTCTCAACTGAACCTTTTTTGTATACTCATTTCCTCTCCTTGGCTGTCTTTTATTTTTCTTTTTTAAAAAGTATTACAATACGGTTGCTATCTTTGAGGTTCTTATTGCTACTCCTGCTTTGGATATCTGTATTTTATAAAGCCTGTCTCTTGGTTCGCAAAGATGTCATAAAGGTCACTGCCATAGCCAGAAAACCAGAGATTTTAGTAGTTGAGATATTTTTGAATCAAGATTTAGAAATTCTGGCAAAAAGTTTAAAGGTTTGTAAAAGAAGGAAAAGCCGTGCTAGAGCCACTTTACAGCACAATCTGAACATCTTGTTTAGGCTGTATACAGTGCTCAGCAGATGTATTCATTAACAGCATTTCTTCGTGAAGAAGCCCAAAATACATTTGACCTGTAATTATTGAACAGATTTTGTTTAACTGTAAATGTGCTACAGACCAAGCTGGTTCTGATGAAATGTTTGGGTTTTGTAGTATGTCACAATTCAAGGCATCTTCATTACTGCACCTGCATTTTCACCTAAATATCATGGACCCTGCTAGGAGTTACCTCAAACCACTCTTCAAAGATGCTAGCTCACGGGCTTTGAACTGTGAACAACCTTGAGCATAGATTAGAAAAGCAAAAAAGTTTGAGTGCCTTCTTTTGAAAAATCTGTGCAAGAGTGTAGGTAGAGCACTTCAGCTACAGGGTACACAGGAGGTGGGGAAAAAGTTACCCTCCTGAGACACCACTGTCTATCTGACAGCAGCTGGGATACAGCTAGTCACAGATTGCAGGTTGCAGTAGCAAGAGACAGATTCAACTTCCCTCACAGAAGGAAGATACCAGCCTTGGCAAATTCTCCACACTGACTGCAAGCCAAACAAGTTTTGTTCCCTATGCTGTTCTGCTTTGTGGCATTTTTCATCATTTTGGAATCAGAGCAACGTAAAAAGTATCTACGAGATGATGTTTCCTCCCTTAGCCTCTCCCCAGGAGTAAAAGCATGTGCAGGGCAGTATTTATTTTAGTAGGTTTTTTGTTTAAGCTGGCTCTCTCCTTTTGGGTAATAAATATAAACGATGCTCTCACCTTACTCCGCCCAACAAAAAACCAAATGTGTGCACTCAGCATTTGGAATGAGAATAGCAGCACTAATGGCTGTAACTCAGCAAGAGAAGGATAGAGGGCTGAGGACTGT